TTTTTTTTTTTTAAAGAACTATATAAACAGTACGGGGAAATGTTTTCTTCCTTTTTTTGCATTATCATTTGTAGTTTTGCACATTTTGTGTGCATTCAGATGTTTTGTTAGAGCAGCAGTAGATTTTTTTGATGATGATGATGATGATGCATGCAGGGCATGTTCGATAAGGCCTGTGCACTCCAGTGTAGAGTACATTAAAGGTTTCACAATAAAACTCAAATAAAAAGCAACACAAGTCGTCTTTGCTGCCGTGTGTGTTTCCATGTTGTCTGAAACTTCAAGTTCAGCAGTTTTATTCATGCTTTTGGCCACAAGAGGGAGTCGTTGCTCCAGAAAATGGTGAAAACTCGCAAAACTGCACTTTTTTCCTTCTTAAATCTTTAATATTATGAATTTATGTCGATGTATGAATAAGAATCTTTCAAAGGAAATATCTTTGTTGCATTTATTTACATCGAAAGTCAGCAGTGACTTTATTTGTGGTCTAAATGATGGAAATGAAAACGACCTCTAATATTCGCAGTAAGTAAATTTGCTGTTGTGTATTTTTTTTAAGCGTATGAAATTTGAATTTTATCCTTTTTCAGTGTTTTTCCTGTTGGTTTGAGTAAAGCATGAGGCTCCTGCGTGACTTCCTTTGTCTTGTACATGAGAGCACCTTGATGTCAGAGGTAATGAGGATTAGTTTCGTCACAGATCATCCTCAGCTGCTCTCTCTTTTCCTTTGACTCTTCTTTTGTCACCTAATCTCTCAGATTAACTCAAATATGACACTTTCAAGACAAATTAGGGGGGGGGGGTCCCAGCTGGACACAGTTGTGTATCCGTGCGCTCTCTCCGTACCTCATCTTTTCCCAAACCAGCCGCCTCGCCGGGTCTAATCCAGCTGTTCGATTAGAATTGAGGACAGTGTTGAAGCACTGCATCCAGCTCTGTGTCGTCAGCCTGTTTTCTCAGCTTATCTCATGCTGAGCTGATAATGAGATCTACCTGCTGCCTCCTGCTTCATCAGCACCATAAATGGTTTTCACTCTCAAATGCAGCACGAGGCTTTTTTAAATGTACATTTATCTGAGCTGGTGAATGTTTGTCCGCCTGCAGGGACTTTCTCACTTCACAGTCTGTGTTTACCTGGATGATCAGACCGACGATCTGCTCTTTCAACCAAATTAATCTGATAGCCATAAAATCGCCTCTGACTGCAGTTGTTCTTCTTCAGCTCCACCTTAGAGTTCGCACGCCATCAGCCGGGACGATCGACACGCCACGTCATGTTTACCAGTTTGCTTTTTAACAACGGCTGTCCTGAATCCTCGTTAATCACCCTCTGGCATCGGGCCGTGCTTTCTTCCTCCTCATACCTATTCCCCAATCCTCTCATTAGCTTTGTCCACCTTCCTTTCTTTCTGCTTTCATTCTTAAATTCCTCTGCTATAGTCACGACCACTCTTCCTCAGGTTGGCGAGTAAAAATGACCATAATGCAAAAAAGGCTGAAATATCCCCATTTCAAGTGTCAGCGCACCAACGTCCTCATCACTGTACACGAGTGCTGACCAGAAGCATCTGAACTGTTTTTGGACGCCTTACCTTCGTGTCCGTGTGTTGGATCAGACCGATGATGGTGGGCGTCGTTTTCATAGATGTGACTGCTTAGATCGGGTTGTCCCACATGCAGGGGCCAGTTACAGTTTGGGCTCCAGCTGATAAATCTGAGAAGATATGAAATAGTGAAATAGGAAAAAAAGGATTCATACTTTTCCTCATCTTGACCTTATTCTAAGATAAGGAGTGATTTTACTTCACTGCTAATTCAAACACACATTCAGACATCAGGTTGGACTCTTAATTATTCAACAAGGTGTTAGACTCATTTTCAGACATGTTTGGTTCATGCTGTACTGACAGCATTTCCCGTTTCACCAGACGCTCCATTGGATTGACGTCCGGAGGCCGTGCAGGACGTTGAGTGCAGCGAATTCACTGTTACAGTCAAGAAATCTGTTTTAAATGATTTGGTTTTGTGACATCTTGTGTTTGTCCTGCTATCAGAAGATGCCCACACTGATCATAGACGTCAGCAACAATAGTCCGCTAGGCTGTGGTGTCACCACCGCCTCTGACCGCTGAGAGAAGTGGATCCACGCCTGCCAGTCTGATCTACAGCTGGGATTTTACAAACATATTTAAATGTGATGAATATAATGGT